GGGAAAAAAAAAAAAACTATTACATGGAAGACATGTACGTATGTATATAGATATGAACCTCCAGAAAAAACTGCTTAAGAAAACTCAAGAAAAAAACACTTACCTGTACGGTAGGTACATATATACCTGTATGTATTAACATTATTTACCTGTATGTCAGGTACATAATTTAATGTGGATGCTTGTCTGATCGATTGGTATAATATGTGAGCCTTTACTTTTTATTGATTAAATTGTATTTTATCTATATATTAATAATATTATCAAGGAAAAAAAATTCAAAATTCAAAATTTGGAATTCAATTTCAAGGAAATAATGCATTAAATTTAGATTTTCAATGTGTTTTCCTTATTCACCTTAAAGGGTAAAATCGACACAACAAAAAAGTAATAAATGTCAAAGGACCTACATCTAAAACCAAAAACACGAGGACTAGACCCAATGATAGCTAATCGTTTTGGACCTAGATCTAAGAACCCCTAAAAAAATTGGTCTCTTCCATTGCAATCTTGTTAGACCTCCTTGCCATTACCAAGTTCGCATATGGTGCAAGCATGTTGATAGTTGCTGGGATTTTATTGTGCATATTTGCAACTTGCACAAAGGTAGAACCGGTTTGAAAATTGGAGTGTGGAAACACAACATTTTCATGTGTTGTTTCCTGGTTTGAAGAAAGAGCAAGGGATAAATTTAAATCTATTGAGGCTCCAGGAATCGAAGAGAACTCCATTTTGATTTATTTCTCTCTAGTTTGCTTTTGTTTTCAAATTGAAGGACGTCCTGGTTTAAATAGTAATGAAAGCATCAGACATCGTCTTGAATAACGAAAGCATATTAGGATCTCATCCCTTGTTCCAACACCCATGTTTTCTGGCTTTCTATCTCGAGCTACACACCCATGTTTTATGCCTTTCCACATCAACTCACTTAAATAGAAAGAAAAAAAAAAAGAAGGAAAAGAAAGAAAATAGAAAAATATAACAATATCAATTTAAAAAATATAAATAAGAGTTTTACAATTATAGAATTAGTCTATTAAAATTCTTATCAAATATGAACAAAATCCATGTCAAATACCCAATTAATCTAACCAAAATTAATACCAATTAATCTAACCAAAAGTACATGTGATTTGGAAGTCACCACATAAAAGTAGACGTGATTACAATTTTCGGGTAATTTTCGATGAATTTTTTAGAGCACGTATGACTTTTTAATGAATTTATGATGTTAGTCCAATTAAAAATTGACATGTGGTGCTTTGTTAATGCATCATTTCTAAAACGAATTAAAAACAGAAGCGCTGGATTACAACCCCAAACATGCTGTGTCTTTCTTCTTCTTCTGCTTCTTCGGAGAGCTCTGCAACTTCAATTCTAAAAGCTCTTAAAAACTTCTAAAATTCATAACTTTGGTTGTGGGGCTCCGATTGACGAACCGTTTTCTCCTGCATGATCGTGAGATCGATCCCAACAATCTAAGGTAATATTCAGGGTCTCACCAGCAGCAAACAATACAACCTCTGTGGCCTTTCGTCGCTGTGGCCTTCCGTCAAGCACCTTGCGTGCATCTCTTGGGGTCTTCGTTCTGCTTGCCATGGGGTCTACTCAGACCTCCACAAGCTGTCCATAGCCATTTTTCCAGCCAGTTCGTGGGGTCAAGCGACCCCTCTTGTCCCGTAATCCGTCTGCTCCTGGGTGGCATACCAAACCAATAACATATTGTCATACATTTTAACTTTCTCATATAACAACATGTAAAATATCGTCACAATGACACTACTGTTGCATAAAAGTTCTTCTGCATATGCTGGCATTGATATAGCCAACATTTATAGATGGAGAGCTTAATTTTAAGATGGGGTGGCAAGTTTTGGGTGTGACTTCAGAGCTGTCAAAACATAAAGAAAACATAACCATTTGGGAAAGAGACAGATTGTCTTTGAAACCATATTGCCACCATGTAACAATTCTGAAATGTTTACACCAATCCAGTAAACATAGCCATTTTTTATTTCTTTTTAGTAGTTTTTTTTTCCTCTGATGGTAACTTTGAATTGTACAGGTGGCCGAATATCATTGGACGGCGTCATCAACACTTTGAAGACAGATTTCTCTCCATTTGGGCGGAGCTTTTCAAGCAGCAACTCCCCCGTTTTCAAGCAGCAACTCTCCTCGGACCTTCCTACCTTCTTCTTCTCATTGCTCACTCTCATTATCTCTCCCTTTCTGCTTTCTCGCTCCTCAGCTCTTCGGGTCCCAAAAGCCTTCCCTTTTCTGTTCACATTCAACCCTTCTTCATTCCTTCATTCATTCATTTTGATCTTGTTCCGAGACAATTGAGTAAGGTATTTCCATGCCCCAGTATCAAATTTTCTATCTTTGAATAGTTTTAGAATGGCAGCAACATCCCATCTCTTTGGGTTGTTGTGGTTTCCTGGCTGATGCACTCTACTGTCTGATTTTGTCGAAAGAGTTTTACCATTTCCAACCAATTTTCCCTTTTTTGTTGTTATTGTTCTGCAATGGTAGTGACGCAATATTGGTTTTTGTTTGTTTGGTGTAATTGGGTTTACTTAGGTCGCTTTGTTTTCAAAATGGATGCCATAATGCCCATTTGCAAGACTGTAACTCCAACTCCTGTAAGTATCTCTGTTACCCATATTTATTGTACTTTTGGAATTGGGTTTGGTTTTGAATGTTGAGTTGCGTTCTGATTCGTTGGAACTCGAGTGGGTAATCAATGGATCTTAATGCGAAGTTGATAGTGTGTGATACTGAATCATGTAAGATGGATGCTTATATATAGTGAAATGGATCCACTTTGCAAATGCATGTTAGTTAGTTTAAGTTCCTAGGTACTGAATTGGTTTACTTTTTATTTCTGTATGGACTGAAGGATGTGGCTTTGTAGATAATTACCTTTTATATCTTCAGTTTTGTAGGAAAGTTCAAAACTTTATGCTTTATCCAATGCAGCCAAACAGATGATAAGTGAAAGATCCTAACCGACTACTAGGGAAAAGTAAAATATTGGAATTCCTAGATAAATTAGCATTTACGAAACCAATGAGGTCTGCTTGTTATATGGTCTTCAGAATGCTGCACCTTTTTGCTTCTATTATGATCTCCAGATCTGTTTTTTGGTTTATTTATTTATTTACGTTTGTTCTTGGGTTTCTATTGTCAATGGAAGGGCTTATTTTTTGGGAGAACTAGAGAGATACGGAGTTCCCAATGTAGCTTTATGGTGGGAAATAAAGTCAACTTTTTAAGGCAGAGAGCTCAGGGTGCTCAAGTTAGTTTCAAATCCAGGAAGCATGGGGGAGCTCTCCATGCTACATGTCAAGCTGAAAAAATTCTGGTGGCAAATAGAGGAGAAATTGCTGTTCGCGTTATTCGAACTGCCCATGAGATGGGAATACCTTGTGTGGCTGTTTACTCAACAATAGACAAGGACGCACTTCATGTGAAATTGGCTGATGAATCAGTTTGTATTGGTGAAGCAGCAAGCAGTCAGTCGTAAGTGGTTGATCAGTTAAATTTTGTTTCGTTGTTTTTCCCCCTTTTCCCCCCTATCCCTCTGTTATGTTGTGATTAAATGAAAAATTGGAATAGTTTAACATGGAGGTTATGTGGATAGAACAAGGAATCACTTGTGCACTACATTCTTTAGCTTAGTATCACAATAAGTTTTTGTTTATCCTTTGTCTCAGTTTCTGTTATAGATGACAATGGTTGAATGGTGCACTTTGATCTGTCTTTCTACAGGTACTTGGTTGTTCCAAATGTTTTATCTGCTGCTATCAGTCGGAAATGTACAATGCTGCATCCGGGATATGGTTTCCTGGCTGAGAATGCATCATTTGTTGAAATGTGCAGAGAACACGGAATCAACTTTATTGGGCCTAAGGTAAAATACTGGAAATAAAAAGCTTCAAGCTAGGAAGTTTTTGACTTTTTTCTCTTCATTCAGATTTAGATGCAATGCAACCCTGATAAGTTAACATAGAGTCTGTCAAAATTTCATGTAAATTCAGAAAGACATATTAACTAGCATTTTAGTAATGAATAAAATATTCAACTCAGAAGAAAATTATTCTGATCCTATCCTAAAACAAAATTTTTATTTTTTGTTTCTTGAGTTGTGTTTTAATTACATTTATCTCACTCTAAATATTCCCTATGTCTTAGTGTGAATAGTGATTGATCCATTTAGGTCATGAAGATATGAGCACATGGCTCTGTATTTAGTTACTCATTAGTTAATTCATGTACTGATGTGGGACAACTGTTTGCAATTCGGGTTACAGCCTGACAGCATCCGTGTTATGGGTGATAAATCGACTGCCAGAGACACAATGAAGAAAGCAGGTGTTCCAACTGTACCAGGAAGTGATGGATTACTACAGGTATCTACTTTATCCTCAGTTATTATACATTTCAACACCTCCAGACCTAGGTGGTCATATGAATTGATTTTGTGTTTATTGTTGTCACTTTTTTCTTTTTTGTCAACAGAGCACAGAGGAAGGAATCAGGCTTGCCGATGAGATTGGCTTTCCTGTTATGATCAAGGTAAAGTGTCTTGTCTTAATATATCTCATGATAATCAAAACTCATTTTACCTTACTGTGTCTTAGAATTTGCAGTGCACACCCTTTCATGTTAACTCTGAAAATTCAGAAGTTAAAACATATTTCTTAAGCAACAAATTGAATTTTGTTTTTCAATAAAACCTATTGATTTAATATTATAGACATTTATTAAGTATCAATTGTAAATGTGATTAATTTAGAGGAATATTTATGTAGGTTAGTTGCTCAAGAATTGTTACTGTTTGATTAGGAAAGACAGAAGGCTACCCAGTAACCTTGCTATAGTGCTAGACTTTGACAATTTACTATCTCAATGAAGGTGGAAGATAGTTTTTATGGGTTTTAAAATTTGAGTTTGAATCATGCATGGAGTGGCTAAGAAAGACTTGGCTTAATTCCTATTACCTATAGGGAATTCGGACTGTCACCTCTGATCTCCGGATAAGGTATTTGGCAGAAAAAATATAAACGATCTTATTTAATAGTGTGGTATTTATCTATATTAATGAATCAAACATGAAAATTTTAAGACTTCAATGAACTATAACACAGTTACTAGATGAATGGTTATTTTAGGATTCTGACGTTACATTGATATTATCCTTCTAACTCTGTATTAACGGAGCCGATATACTTGTTATCTGTTATTTGATTTGTTTCTTTGAAGTGATAAGCATGTTTTTCTATTTAAGGCAACAGCAGGAGGTGGAGGACGTGGCATGCGTCTTGCTAAACAACCTGAAGAGTTTGTGAAGTTGTTGCAGGTATGCATTATCTTCCTATTTTGTCTTTGATGATGCCTTCTTTTTTTTGTTTGTCTTGTGTGAAAGTATTTCTAAAATCATCTTTGGAGATATATTTTAAATTTGATATTAATTAAGTTTAACTCTACAACTTTGAACTGTTGGGTTCTTAGTTTACTTGGTCTTGTTATCTGCAAATGAATTTTATATTTTTGTATTTCATTGTTGCTTCCATTATTTTAATTTTCTTCCTCAATTTAATTTTTTGCAGCAAGCGAAGAGTGAGGCTGCAGCTGCTTTTGGAAATGATGGAGTTTATTTGGAAAAGTACATCCAAAATCCTAGACACATTGAATTTCAGGTAATGTACTTGTAAAAGTTCCTGGTTTTCTAATGTTATTCTTTATATATATATATTTTTGTCAAGTAATGTTATTCTTTATAATTAGTATTCGATTTGACATTTGATGCCTGCCTGCAACCCCTTGATCCATCCCTTGTGTACAGGTTCTTGCAGATAAATATGGTAATGTTGTTCACTTTGGAGAGCGGGATTGCAGTATCCAGGTACTTCAAGCAGACTTAATTGCTTGCTATCTCTGTGAAGGTTTTATTTTTAATTATTGTAATACAGTTTGTCTTCTTAAAAATCTTACTTCTGATTTCTTTAAGGCAAGCAAAAAAGGTCATAACCATACCATATAACTGACTCTTTGCAACTCTAGGATGTACTATCCATTCAATTTTTTTTTTCTTAAGAAACTCCTTCCATTTTATGTGTTGAATGTGATCATCTCAGAGAAGGAACCAAAAGCTGCTGGAAGAAGCACCCTCCCCCGCATTGACCCCAGAATTGCGTAAAGCTATGGGTGATGCAGCAGTTGCCGCAGCAGCATCAATTGGTTACATTGGTGTTGGAACCGTTGAATTCCTTTTGGATGAAAGAGGCTCCTTTTACTTCATGGAAATGAACACTCGTATTCAGGTTAAACTAATCTTTTGAGGATGGCTTTGTTTGGCAAAAATTTTTTTGCTTAGTTATGCTAAATTACTTTTTTTTTTCTCCCGCAATGGAACCACAGGTTGAGCATCCTGTGACAGAGATGATTTCCTCTGTTGACTTGATTGAAGAACAAATTCGTGTAGCTATGGGAGAAAAACTTCGATACACACAGGTAATTAGTAATTAATTGTGGTAGGACATGTATGACGCTTCCTGTTCAATGTCTGATGGAGGTCGCTCCATTTACAGGATGAGATAGTGCTCAGAGGACACTCAATTGAATGTCGTATCAATGCAGAAGATGCTTTTAAAGGATTCCGACCTGGGCCAGGTATGTGTACATAGCGATGTTCTGGTTCCCACAGTCATTTCTGTTGTATTGGTTTTACCGGGTGCAGCCAAACCCTGATGAATGGGTTCAAAGTTAGTTCAGCAGTCAAGGTTGCCATGGATTTTATTACGTTCGTGTGTGCACTGGATTTAACAATGACATTTTGTACTCATTTTATCTTTAGCATATGTAATCTTTTGCCTTTTTTACAGGAAGAATAACTGCCTACTTACCATCTGGAGGTCCCTTTGTTAGAATGGATAGCCATGTTTATCCTGATTATGTGGTTCCTCCAAACTATGATTCCCTTCTTGGAAAGGTTTGTGGACCAACATACCGTTGCTAGCCATGGTTTCTCATATGTACAGTATAAATTTTAGGTTTCAGGCTCCTTTATCTAATCACTTTGGCAATCTCTCTCTTAATGTAGCTTATTGTTTGGGCACCAACAAGAGAAAAGGCAATTGAACGAATGAAGAGGGCTCTTGAGGACACTATTATAACAGGTAAGTAATAAAGTTCATTGTTGTAATCCTTCCGTTTTGCTTACTATTTGTGTCAGCATAATTGTACTTTGAGTGAGCCAATTCATAGCATTGTCCATAGAACAGAAGGGTAGGCCAGTAGGCCCAGGCTTCGTCCCTCCCTTGTACCTAAAAAGGAAGTAAATAGAGGAATTTAGTTGTATTTGTTGATTTCTTGTTTAAAGTTTCCAGTCAGTTCAATTCAGATTGTCAATCTACAATTTCTTCTTAATTCATGACTGTGAATGTAGTTAGCTAGATATATTTTTCTGTTTATTCATGGCTGTGTCGTTAGCTATATATATTTTTCTCTTTATTCATGGCTGTTAATTTAGTTATTGCCTTTATTCCACAGGGGTTCCCACAACCATTGAATATCATAAACTTATCCTTGATATAGAGGATTTCAAAAATGGGAAGGTTGATACTGCTTTTATTCCAAAGCATGAAGAGGAGCTCGCCGCGGTAAGAAGCTAGTCTAACCCTGAACATAATTTTTCTGGTCAGGTGTTACCAATTTTTTTAATTTTATAATTTGGTGTGAAGTAAGTCAACTAGAAACAGGGTTTGTGTGGGATCGGGTTTTGCCTATGCAAAATAAGAGGTTTAGCCATGTTGGTGCTACGAGTCTCTTTGGTTTGCTGGAGAGGAAATGGTGCAGTGTCCTTATTTCTGTGTTTATTTTAGTATAATAATTCTCAAAAACTCAATAGGAGTTTGCTGATGTTTGTATTTAGCGTTCGACTTTTTGATGTGGATTTGCCGTTACTGCCGTTGCGCGGTGGATCTGTATTGTAGGTTTGAGTACAGGTGCTTCTTGTCTGCCAAATTGGAGTTTTTAGGTTTTTCTGGCATGCGTCATTCTCTCCAAATCAAACCAATTTATTTTTGTGTTTGGTCACTGGAGATGTTGTACTCATATTTGGCATTGCGGCTACTCTGTGCTTTTTTTTTTGTGTTATCAATAAAATTACTGTCGCTTTTAATAAATTTTTTTTAAAAAAAAAAAAGGCTTCAAACCCTAATTAGGTGATTAGGGTTTAAAGGTTTAATCAGTCAAATAGCTTTGGATCTTAGTAAGTTATTTAACACTCAGCTCTACATCCAGTATGTGAGTCCTGTAGAGTTTGTTGTCTTTGCATCTGGCATTTGATATATTACGTCACCTAACTCAATCTGAAGAAACTGTATTTCATTTTAATCCATAACTTAGTATCATTAGATGAAGTGGAGGTTTTACTTGCACAATAATTTTTATATTTAAAAACAAAAAACCAAATTTCATTACGTTTTAGTGGGTTATTGTTTATTCCCTTGTGATAGGTTTTTATTTATCAAACTTTTGTTATATTTACTGATACCCTTTTATGTGCCTACAGCCCCAACATTTGGTGCCAAAGAACTAGCTGGTGCATCTGCTTGAAGTGCTACCATCTGCTCTAGTCGACCACATTAGAAAAGCTGCAAATCATTCACTTTTTTTTTTCTTTTTTTTTTTGGAATTTTAGTTATTTAATTTGTGTTCTTGTTTTTTTTATAGCACTAGGAACATTGACATGCCTTGCATATGAAAATTCCGTTTGAAAATTTGATATGTTCTTCTGATTCATTTGGGTGTTCAAACTTGTTTTGCGCACCATATATGTAAAAATGATGAGGGTCTTGCAAACTATCCATATTAAGCAAAGATGCCTCCTTCATTGTTAGGTTTAATCTAAAAATACCATTTTGACGTTTCACCCGTTATAGTAAATAGAAAAAAAAAAACATTTTTTTTAAAACTAAAAACTTAAGTAAAATGCATTTCACAAAATAGGTTCCTTGTTCAAACATCCAACATAAGAAACATTTTTAGAAGATGTTCAAATTATATAGTCAATAGCTTAAAAATGAAATAAAATAAAATAACTAAATTTTTAAGGATTTCGTGTCTCGGTTACAATATGTTCTTATGTCCATTCATTATGAATTTTTCATACTAACATGTCCATCCGTTATCAATGTGACTCAAACACTAAATTTTTCGTATGTGTTATCGAATTTAGCTAAAAAAGTCATTAGCCACAAAAGGTCAATACAAATTATCTTTAGGTGATAAATGCATGCACACACCCTAATAATTCAGGTGGTATATGTGCAAAATTCATTTTGTTTTATATATTAAAAAGGGTTAATTACTCAAATGGTCCTCAAATTTGTACGCGATTTACATTTTGGGGTCTGAATTAAATTTTTCGTTCAAATGGTTCATCAACTCTATATTAATTACTCAAATGGTCCCACCGTTATATCTCGTCAATATTTCCGTTAAATATGAGGGCAAATTGGTCATTATTAATCGTTAACAAAAAATAGTGTTTTTCTTGAAGGTGTTGGGAATTTCAGTTTTTCTAACGTTTTAGAAGCTCTCACTCTATGATTGTGATTAAACATTCGTCCTCGGCTTGATCAGAACATAAAGCTCGTGACATTTCTGTGAATCGCAAAACCCCAAAAAAGAAAACAAAATATGTTAAGAGCTCGTTTGCTCTGGTTCGGTCTTGGGTTTTCGTTGACAGGAGCTGCGATTTCTCACCTGGTTTGGAAAGATCTTCTGGTGGACCGCTGCGCTCTTTCCTCTGATGTAACCTACCAACCCATCAACTCTCTCTCTCTCTCTCTCTCTCTCTCTCTCTCTCTCTCTCTCTCTCTCTCTCTCTCTCTCTCTCTCTCTCTCTCTCTCTCTCTCTCTCTCTCTCTCTCTCTCTCTCTCTCTCTCTCTCTCTCTCTCTCTCTCTCTCTCTCTCTCTCTCTCTCTCTCTCTCTCTCTCTCTCTCTCTCTCTCTCTCTCTCTCTCTCTCTCTCTCTCTCTCTCTCTCTCTCTCTCTCTCTCTCTCTCTCTCTCTCTCTCTCTCTCTCTCTCTCTCTCTCTCTCTCTCTCTCTCTCTCTCTCTCTCTCTCTCTCTCTCTCTCTCTCTCTCTCTCTCTCTCTCTCTCTCTCTCTCTCTCTCTCTCTCTCTCTCTCTCTCTCTCTCTCTCTCTCTCTCTCTCTCTCTCTCTCTCTCTCTCTCTCTCTCTCTCTCTCTCTCTCTCTCTCTCTCTCTCTCTCTCTCTCTCTCTCTCTCTCTCTCTCTCTCTCTCTCTCTCTCTCTCTCTCTCTCTCTCTCTCTCTCTCTCTCTCTCTCTCTCTCTCTCTCTCTCTCTCTCTCTCTCTCTCTCTCTCTCTCTCTCTCTCTCTCTCTCTCTCTCGTTTTCCTTTCAAGTTTTCATTTTTCTTTGGGGGGTTTTGTAGGTGAAGCAAAAGTTTGATGCTCTTGAAGGTAGAATCGTGAACCTCGAGCGTTCTTTATCAGAGCCGAATCCCGCTCAGGTTTTGGTTTTATTTGATTTCGTTTTGTATTATTTTTGTGATTTTGTTGAATTTCTGATAGTTTTATGCTAGTGCTCTTGACCCATTCATCCCAATTTTGTTAGAACTAATTATTTCCCAAGACCCATCTCATAAATTTCAAAATAAGGACAATTGTTAAGTATAGATGGTGAGTTTTAACAATGCCAATGATTTTCTAAATGGGTATTGGTCATGAAGTGCATGTCTTGATGAAATTGCTGATTGAAATTTGCGAACATTTGTCCAAAGTAAAGACAGCTCAAAGCATATGGCATGAATTGTGGGGTTCAATTGCAGCATCCTCAATTTAGATTAGCATATTTGTATGTCAAGTTACTCTCTTTCTCTTGTGTCTGTTTCTGAGTGGGAAAAAAACCAATGTGGAGTATCCGATGTTATGATCTATGCATAGACAGAATCTCGATCATGATTACAAATATATGCCTAAATTTATGATGTGTCAGAGAGAGAAGGTCCATTGGCACCAAGTGGAGCCATAAAGTAGATTGTCTAAGAGGAGCTTTTCTTGGAAAATTGATAGATGAAAGTAATTAGATGTTGTCTGAGTTCAATAAGTTTGGTTAGAGTAAAGTACAAGAATAAGATTGATGTAGTGTGAAGGCAAACATCATCATGCACATATGCTGGGGAAATGTCTGAACCTTTAACTAAGAGAAATAGACCACACCACAAACGATTGAGAAAAGAGCTTAGAGGGGCATAATGCTGGAGATTGGAGTCACAGGAACTTTGGCAGGGAGAGGGGAATCATGGGTTCTTTGATTAATTTTCTAGTTCCATTTGACTTTCATCTTTTGTAATGATCTCATAGCTGCAACTCTCTGTGAGCAATTTACACACTCAATGATCTTTGGCTCTGCTCCAAATGATATTGCCATAACTAATGGTTCATAGACTTGCATCTCATTACTTATGTTGACTTTGTCAATGTTTGTATTTGATTTTTTTTAATAATGACAAGCTCATTGTTTTGATTGATGAAAGTGTTTAATAATTGGTAGGGACATGTTTTTCTATGGAAAAGCATACTTTGTGAAATTTTCCAAAAACATTAATTAAAGCACTTGCTTCATAAATAATTTTTTGAGCCATGAAAGTGCGCTATTCTTAGATGACTACTTTTGCAGTGATTTGGAGTCACATATGAGTTGATGTGTTCCAATTGTATAATGGTTTATGAGTTTGTAAAATGGGATGTGGGTTAAACTAGTATGCTGATTCTAAGAAACAGAACTATTGAAGAGCACCACTTTCTCTGGTTCAGTCAGGATGAACAATCTGTCCTGTCTGGTTTAGCTTTCACAATGTTGGATGAATTTTAGTGTTGGAGGAAATGAAGTTGTATTGTCATGAGTGGCCCAGTGCTTTCTAGTTTTCTTCTGTATGCAGAGTTCCTGTTGACAACCTTTTGGGGGTCGAACTGGCCACAATTTAGTGTGGAACAAGCATATCGGATATACATGGGCTTAAGTTTAACTACTTGCACTCGACATCTTAAATTGTTTAGTGCATTGGCCAATGTGAAACTTGTTTGAACTGATCCCTGCATATTTAAAGGAAAAGAAAATATAGTCTTCTATAATAAAAAAAGAAAACAGAAGAAAAATAGTGTCTTTTATATGTCGACCTTTTTCTTTGAGAGAGTTTCTGCACATAGATTTGGTTGTTCAGATCTGTTTTCTAATCATTCTCTGTTACTCTTTGAACAACTAAGTTAGTGATTGCATTTTACCTCTCTTTGGCAGGTTGAGGACTAAATTTTACTTGGAGCTCAATGAAGTTCTGGCTTTCCCTCTTTGTTATCGACTTTATTTTGGTTTTTTAATGCTAAGTTGAACATGATTCTTTGTTAAAGATCACAATGTACTAGCTCTCTGCGTTAAAGTCTCAAGGTGATTATATTACTAAATTACTTTCTGCTTATACACTTCATTGTGACTATATTGCTGCTATTTAGAGTCTCAATGTGACTCTTGATAGCAGTAATATAGTATTTATTATATGAATCTTTGTAGAATAAGAGGGTTGTTTTAGGTTTTGCCATAATCTGGATTTTTATTTCAAGGACTCTGAGTGATGGTTTTACTTTTCAACTTCTGGTGTATGACATGTATGTTGATCTAACAACCATGACACAAATCTTAATCAGTTTTATGATTAATAAAAAAAAGTTATTAGTTGGAAATATAAATAACAATACCGAGTGATGTAGACATTATAGAAGAATTAAAATGCTTCTGGTCGGGCTGGAAAATATAAGCCCATCTCTAAGTGTATTATATGCCCCAACTTTTATTTTTCGGTCGAATAATATGCCCCATTTTGTAACACTTTTTTCAAGGCCGAAATATATAGCTCAGTTGATTGAGCTCTTTTATCTCCACTTATGAGCGGAAGTTTGAAATTTCCAGGCACCTAATGAATATTTGTGTAAACCAGACACCCAATGAATATTTGTGTAAACTCCCCCCCAATCACTTGTACTAAAAAAATATTAAAGTCTGAAAAATAGCATAACATCAGGTGCTCCTTGTAACAATTATGACTGGCATTTCATACAATGCAAACTATAAATGTCTCTCTTTCAGGTTCATATAAGTTCACAATTTCTCAATAAAATTTCTCCAATCTAATTAAAAAATTCTGGCAATTTGAATAGAAGACTGTAGAGACTGCCTGCTTGAACCCTCTCAATTTTTATCTACTGTGTCTTATCCCGGTTATACCCAGTTTTATTCTCATAACCTTTCCCATCCTTTTCTATTATTTACTTATATAGGTTTGTAAAAATGTTCATGCCACAGCGACCCCAGCCAAGAAGACCAGCGGACTAGAGCAGGGTGACACAGAGTAATCCATTGATTTTATTGCTTCAGATCTGCACTTCTCTTTGTGATCGTCGCTTCTAATGTGTTTGTCACGGCACTCAGCACTGCAAAATGCTTTTTCACCTCTGCTAACAAGGGGAATTGAATGCTTTGTTAGTGAAGAATCTAAGTTGCATCAGGACAGTAGATGCCAAGTATATTGCAAAGACCATCCCCATTTTCAAAGTCATCAGTTGACATCCCAACCATTCCAAACAATTAAGCAACACATGCAATAGCAAACAAGAACCACAATTTCAAAAGCAAATTCTTTCGCTATCACAAAATATCTCAATTATTAAGAGAATTGAAAATCAGATATTGGAACAAAACAAAACCAGGTGGAATTTTCTCAATCAAGAATTGCACCTAAATATCTCACCAACCTGGACTTTAAAACTGGCCTACCGAGAATCTTGTCTACAATAATGTTATATCTCTTAACACAATGCATATATTCATTCACAAAGCTATCGAGATGAAATTTCAAGATTCTAAGACATTGAAGTATACTTTCAAGCATAACTCAAAAGTTAGAAGATTTAATCCAATGCAATTCTCCTAACCACATATGCAAGTGCAGGAAAGAGAAGAATTTCAAGTACACATATAACTGACAAATATTACTGCTTCATTTTGTTGCCAGAAAGAGAAAGCAGTAGTATTAAATGTCAAAGTGATTCTCCAAATTATGGATGCTACATAACTGAAAAGCAATCACTACTCCAATTTTTTGCTAAGAATATAAAGAAAAGAGAACTTTGCTCAAAAGAGAACAATTTTGCTCACTACCTTCAGTCATGGTGCAGCATTACCGCCCTACTCAACGTTTTCCACGTCTAACAGGTGTGGTTGTATTTATTACAAAAATTAACCTTAGATAATACGTATAACATGTGGATGCATTGAGCAGAGTGGTAATGCTACATCATGGTAAAAAGCGGTTGGCAAAATTGTCTTCCAAAAGAAATGACCACCTTCTTATAGGAGTACCAGTACACATCTACCCACTCAATGGTATTTTTAATACGGAACAAATGACTCCAATCAAAGATGTAACTTGCAAGTGGTTATTAAGGAAACAGCTGTCATTCTATCCTAAGTTTCTAGGGAGGCTAGCTTCAATGAATACTAAGACAAAGAAAACCTTGCATTACTTCTTAAGCATGCAACAGTCTAATGACAATTAATAGTCAAATGATTGGTTTACAGCCTGGCATAAAAAATTATACTGGCATGTTCATAAAATTAAGCCCCATTTCCATATAATATTAACATGGAATAGAATCTGTTCCAATCAACAAAATGAGAACCTAGGTTGAGGATTTGAGAGTGATAATCAATCCGTGAGCTATATATTGCTGTTAGAGTACTCAAGTCCAATCAACATTGACCGACTTAAATTACTTTGCCTGGCCTGCTTGTATTTTACACTTCAAAACATTACTGGAATAACTACTAGCAGTTTGGAAAATGACAAGGCCAGAACTAATAATCAGCTGAATCAAGCTGTACATGTTCCTTGCAGATAACAACATTTACAGTCTACGTAACAATCACATAAGATTTCCAGACTACATTTCTGAAATAATATCCAAATCCTAATGGAAACAACCATTCATACAGCTTCTGTACTTACAGCAGTCAATGAAGAAGGCAAAATCATTCTTAACAAGATGTTTAACAAAGGAACTAAATCATTTAAGAAACATTCAATGACAACTCATAACTTAAACCTTGATTAATAAATAAAAATCGAGCAAAATTTGTTAGTAGAACAAGTAGAAGAACACCAACCGCCTATACCACATAAGGTAATCTCTACTCAAAAGAGAAAATTACAAATAAGGAAAAAGTATCAAGCTGTGGATACAGATCTATCAGTCACATCCTTCCGCCAAGACCAACGAATTACCATAGATCAAGCATTAACGGTATCACCCTGAACTTAAAATCTATTGCTAAACTAGCAAAGAAGCGAAGCATCGTACATCTCCAAGATTGGTCAATTCATCCATACCTCTAAAATAACAATCAATCGAAATTCAAATCCACTCAAAACACAATCTCCCACACAAGACACCATAATCAATAAGCAAAAATTAAGCCATATTCAAAGTTCTGTAAAAGTTTGACTAAGCCATATTCTAAAATTTCTAAAATTTTGACTAAGCCATATTCAAAATTTTCTAAAATTTTGACTAAGACATATTCATAATCCAAAATCTTCTAAATCATGCTTCACCAAATCATTCATAGAAAGGGGAGAAAGACTACCAAATACACACTAAACACTGATCCTATATAAATTTCAAACTGAATTAATTCATAACAATACATCAAAAGAACATAAATATATGTACATATATAAACATAATTTTTTATTTACCTGTACATGAAAATGTCCAATCCATGAAGCTGCTTGTTGCAAAGATAACAAGAACTGAGAAAATCAGAAGCCCAAAACTCTCTATCCACTTCACCAACACTCACTGGTGAAGCAGAGAACACCCCAGAGGCCACCACACCAGAACTAGGATCATTAACAACTCCACTAAGCTTATCATCAAAATAAACACGTTTCCTTGTCAAATTGTTCCCAAAATGAGAAATCACACAAGTATAGCTCTCAGACAATTCATCCACCACAACCCCTGGCCTCTCCATATTAAACCCACCTCTGAAATTAGCAGCAGGTTTAGCTGCAGAGACTATGGGGATTGGGCTTGACCTTGGTGACCTTTCAGACGAAGCCACTTCATTGGGGTTGCTCAAATCAGTCATAGCAGCCACTATGCCAAGTCCAACCACACCCTCTTGGAAATTTCTAGGAGATTTGATTGAATTGGGATACTTATCAGAGGAAATTGATTCAGACAAGGTAGTGAAGAGTGAGAGACTGATGGTGGGTCTCTTTTTTCCGGAAAAATTCTCCATCTTCCGGGAAAATCTGCAATTGGGTACCCTCAGATTCTCTTACTTTGTCAAATGATTGCCAAATGTTTAGCTAGTTTAAAGGAGGATTGTCAAAGCTGTGGAAGACTGAGATAGAGAAAGAGTCGGGACTCTTTTCAGGTAACCAGGAAAGATTGGAGATCTAGAGAGAGAGCTTTGTGCTAAATTCAGAGGGAGTGAAGTAGAAGCAATGAAGCAAGTAGAGGGATTCTTTTTTGAAAAATTTCAGTGCAGCTTTGAGAGAAGTACCTCCTCCCTCTCTCTAATCTATAAAACTTTAGTTTTTTTTCTAGAGAGAGAAACCTGTTAGAGAGGAAGAGAGAAAGAGAGAGAGAGAGAGAGAGAGAGAGAGAGAGAGATGCAGAGGAAGACCACCTTTCAGGTCTCTCTCTGGTCTTCTCTAACGCCTGTGACTTCAGGGGAAAGGGCAATATAAGCACTTCCTCTCCCTACCATAACAATTATATTTTTATTATATTCTTCTTGCAAATAATACAGATTTTTCTTTTGCAAACATTACAGAAATAATTGATTCTGTAGTTTGACAGCCCCTTCCTTGTAATAATTGTTGGTTGTCACTTTCCTTATTCTTTCCTTTTCTTAAATTGGCCCCTCCATGTTTACGTTAATGAATTTTACCTCTTTTGTTGTTAGATTCTTTCTTTTTCAACTTTAAAATTTGTGTGCCAGAAAAAAAAAAGAAAAAAAAGAAAAAAAAAGACTATTGTGTTTGTGGTCTAGCAAAAAAAGCTATAATATTAATATTGAGTGAGTTCAAAAATGATTTTATTTGTCTACTTGAGATTCTTCGTTCTATTATTGTTGCTTTGTACCAATACCACAAGTGAATTCAAAGAAGGGTATAATTGATGAGAAATGTAGTTCCTGTTCAAAAAAATATTTTTCCTATAAGAGTACCACTCTCGATATTTTTTTCCATTCAAATATTTCTAGGTTATATTTTGAAGGAATTTTTCCCATAGCTCCAACTAATTAATTTTAAAAGTAAATGCATTTTGCTTTAATAAAGACTAGCCCATTGACACACGCGTGAATATATTTGCACATCATATTTTGAAAGAATTTTGCCCATAGCTCAAAACGTGCCATGTAACTAACTCGAAAGTCATTTTCAAAAGTAAGTGTATTTTGCTTTTATAAAGACTACCCTGTGATCGTGTGCCAATTGGATTTTTCTTACACTAAGTTTTTTTTTTTTAAAAAAAAATATTCAAAAGGTAAGTTTTGAAAGTAGTTATCTCCTTTTTATG